TGGTGTCGTTCAATGATCATAAGGAGCATTAATTCAGTAAATTAGCGTAAAGACTCCAATTCATGTTTGCAAATTCCAACTTTGACATTTTCTCGCGCTTTCGTGAAAAAAATGGGGCTACAAGTAGCGCTGTCGGGTTCGCTCTTTCCCTACCGTCATTCTGCATCGATGCAACGCCATTATCGTCCGATCAACATCGTTAATGCCGTTATGAGGAGTGTGAAGAGATATACTATCTTGAGTATCGCAGCGATATGGACACGCATCGACGTGCATCGGAAGTCTCCGACACCCGATCGCTCTTGCGTGTTTGCGACGTTGCGCGGGGAAGCGTACTAACCCTATCAATCTCTACAGCGTCAAGAACTCGAATTGCTTTGTATCGATCAACACAACCTTCCGTTTGGACATTTTCGATAAGAAATTTTACTTCATATATCAGTTTCGAGGTCATTTGCGCATCTTCCTCTCATGTCAAGCTCATCTAACTACCTAGAGGCCCAAGATGGAAGCGCACAACAACACAACAATTGAGCGTCTCAAGAACGCGACCTGGTACTTCTTCGATCTCGACGACACTCTCCACGAATTTCGCAAGGCATCTTCCGCCGCCGTAGACGCGACACTCCGCCTCATCCTACAAAACCACGCTCACCATGAACTTTCTTCCGGCGAGCCGCTCACAATCGCCGAGCTAAAAGCGGAATACCTCAAGATCCTCAAAACCGGCACATCTGCCGCATTCGTGGATGGCAAAACAAGCCACGAGTATCGCGCCGAGCGCTTTCAGGGTGTTATGAACGCTTTTGGTATCGATTGTACGGAGCAGCAGATGCAGGTATTGCTCGACACGTACGAAACTGCAATTATGCAGAATCTGCAACTCAAGGAAGGCGCTATATCACTTCTTCGGACACTTAAACATCAAGGAAAGAGCATAGCGATCATCACCGAAGGCCCTCAAGATTCACAAGAACGTACCGTTGGTGCTTTAGGCCTAGAGCCGTATTTCGACAGGCTGATCACTACGAATAAGCTTGGTGTGGCGAAGATTGACGGCCTTTTTGGCAGGGCGTTGGAGATGATTGATGTGAAGAGCAAGGAGGTGGTTATGGTGGGTGACAGCTGGGATAGGGATGTTGTTCCTGCGCTGGAAGCAGGGATCAAGTGTGTGTGGTTTGCTGAGAAAGATGAGGGAGGAGAGAGGATGGTTGCTTTGGGAGGGGAGGAGAAGAGAGTGATTTTAGTAAATTCGTTAGGTCGGCTACAAAGTATGATTCTAGAGGCTCAGGACTGATCGGATTAATCATCGATAAGCCTGCAGCATATGTTGCGCAGATGCAAAGCAGAGAAAGGGCATGTAATAAGTGCAAGAGCCCGCTCAATCATCCCCGATAACTTCCGTGGACCATTCCGGAATAATGTTTCCGTCCTCATCGATGGGATTCCCATCCTCGTCGACACGATCTCCGTCCTCGTCGACGAGGTTTCCATCCTTGTCGACGAAGTTTCCATCCTTGTCGATACGCTGTCCGTTCTCCGTGATGATATTCCCATTCTCATCAAGAACGTCTCCGTCTTCGTCCTCATCAATGGAGATGGAGATGGCTTCCTCAACTCTGAGAGAGCCATCTTTCGGGCGCTGAATGTGCTTCAATTTCTATACCTTTGGTCAGCCATGGTGAACCCCGAGGAAACGTGTCCGCATTGTGTTTTCGCAAGACCACCGAAAAGGGTTACTTACCTTGCTCCAAAATTTTCTGCTCGGTCTGAACAGCATACCACTGAAAGAGATGGCGTGGCCGCCAGGCTCCTACTAGCTGTTAGTAACGAGTTTTCCAGGAACATAAGAAGAGATCTACCTACATTCCACACTCTGTGCTCGTCAATGTCAGTCTGGACCTCGTGCGAACTGTTGACCCCAAGTTTGCCGATATTCGTCGCCCCGATTTCGGCTCCGGTGTCGATCTTACTGCCCGTCTTGTTCCACATGGCAATACTGCACTTCTCCGTGCTCCATGTGGCTGTGATGATCCAGACGCCGAACTGAATAATGTATGCGAGATAGTTATCCGTTAATTGCTTCATGTTGTCCGTAATCCAATCCTCAATGATCTTGCGCGCATCAATGTTAAACTTCTTGTGCACCACGTTTGGCGATACAACTACACCAGCGCCGGCTTTTGCAGTACTTCCCACTGCGAAATTGGCTCCAACGTCCACGGGTGCTTGGGCAGCGATTCCGGACACCTCAGCTTTGGCGCCGAAACCACTGCCTTCGTTCTTCTCGACAACCTTCTTGTCCCATGTGCATGTAGCAGGCTTGGTCAGAACGAGATCCTTCTTAGGGGCCTTGTACTCGTTGGGGTTGTGCTCCTTGAGTTCAGTAAGATCGGTAATGACTCGCCACCCTCCGTTTTCATCGAAGAAGCCGCAAGAGCCGGGATGGAAGATGTCGTTAGAGGGTGGTGTATACAAGTAGGTGCCTTCGGTGCACATGCTCATAATTTGGGCGTATGCTGTCTCCATTTTGCTGTCGTGTGTGCTTGAGAATATGAAGGGTCCTGGATGAAATGCAGGTAGAGTGACTGAAGTCTGGTCTTTCCACACCTGAGAGAAGCTCCCTATATAACGTCGCGCAAGTTGTTTACTACGAAGAAAAAGAAACAAACACTATGCGCTCAGAGCTGAGTCCCCATCTGCAGCTCGTCGAGCCATAGCCCTAGTACTCTGGAGTAGCCAGGTTGACCCCAACAGTAATCGCCGAACAGAGGATACAGCTGCGAAGTTTTGGGCAAATGACGGGCTGCGCAAAGGTGTTGCCAGTCAAGCACCAATGGACGGCTCCGCAGATCATGGAGCACAGCGAGGCTATCGAAGATCATTTCCTCACTCTTATGTTGATCGATAGGGCATAGCGAGAGTATCGACAATCGTTCCCACACCTTTATGTCGATTCATAGGGTGGCACAGTGAGGGTACAGAAAATCATCCCCACACATCTGTAGTGATCGCTGGGGCGGCCCGCGCGCCGTCGGTGGTTCCGAAGACACACAGCTTGTACGTAGCCCGCAGACCGGCGCTGTCATATACCGTCGCCCTAACACACAACGTGTGATGGACCTTTGAGCCCGTGAATTTGCGCTAGAGTATGAATGTAGTCAGTTGTTTGTGCTTCTAAAGGCGTTGCATTCGTCGCGAACATGCCCGTCAATTTCTCTAGTGGTTGAGGGTATCTGCGAATTTCGGTATGCCAACGCACATCCGAACTTCGATCATGATCGCACCTGCGTCATTGAAAGCTTATATTCTGGACTTCCGACCAGAGTGCTGGATGTGGAGATGGTCGAAGCTTCCTATGATGTTGTTGTGTCGTCAGAAAGCCGCCATATCTGGTGGATCTAAGCGAGGTGGGCCTGCTGCGATGGCATTCGTCGTGGGCTTCTGCGGGTTTGACTCGATCGAGTGGCCGCGAAGCCATCCAGCAGCCGCCATCACCGTGTCAGTGGACTCGTGTTCAGAGGGACGTCGCGCTATCGGCGTACTCGAGAACGCGTCGTTAGCGCACACGTCGCGAGAGCTGTCAGTGTCAGTGTGCTCCGTGCGCAATCTCGGCATTCGCTCCCGCGGTCCATGAGTCTTGCCGATGAAGCAAAGGACTAGCACGGCCTTAGCATCGATCACTTCTGCACAAGACAGCAAATCAACCACGATGAAGGTTTGGGACAATGGCAGATGTTATGATCGCGTCTCTGAACTCGCCCAACGTCACAGCTGACATGGCACCCGAATGTTTAACGTAGGCTCGGGACTGAGGAGGCGCTTCGCTGACCACCTGTAACGCGGCTTGGAGGGGTATAAAGTCACTGTTCGAATAAGAGCGGGATGACCCTATTGTGCGTACTGCAGCAATCGTATGGGAAGTATCTAAAGCTCAATGAACTAACCCATCGACTCCATACCTCCCTTTCAGTCTCGCCATCACACTCCATTCCGTCCATCCCGACTCACATACCACATTGCCTCATGCCCATCACACCTCACCGTCCCCCGCGCTGCCACCTTCCCATCATGCAAATGCGCAAACCGCTTGACCGCCTCATCGATGATATCAGCCATATCCTGGTTATTCATATCGAACGAGAACTCATGCGGCGTGTTAGGTATAGCACCAATACTGAACCCGCAGGGAAATTGGTGCATGTGTTGCTGGTAACCTTCTGGTTTGCCTATGGAGTTTCGGTGTTAGTGGGGTGATGAGTGGAGGTACGGGGTGGGTTTACCTTCTAGATGGACGACCCATTCGCCAGCGTCTCCGAAGATACTGAAACACGACTCCTGGCATTCGGTTGTGGTGGGTGGGTTGGTTGCGGATAGGGTGGTGTCTTCGTAGGTGAGTGTGTCGCAGTGGCCCAATGTGCTCTTGTCGCCTTCGCAATAGTTGATGTCTGGGGAGAGTTGGGCTGCTGTAAGGATGGCAGTGAGGAGGCTGAGAAAGAGAGATGATGCTGGGTGCATGTTGATGGCTTGATGTGGTGAGTTGATTGCGATGGTGTAGAGAGAAGAATGGGTGTGAGGGAATATGAGGTCGTCTTGTATGTGCTGACATGATTCTACGCCTTACGCATACATACGAGGTGCATCACAGCGTAGGGTAGTTATTGGATGGAAGATGGACTGATGTGAGACGTGCAGCGGTGATGCGAGGTAAGTCATATGCCCGCGGGGATCTTCAGATGAAGTGACGAATCAAATGGACGACAGCATGTTCATCGGCAAACAACAGACCATGATCTACATACCCGCCACTACGGCGTAGCCCATTCACACACCGTAAGCTGCATGCGCGCGTAAAACCCCAGACCAGCGCGTCGAGATACATCGGTTATATCACCCCTGTATGTATCTGACATACTGACATACTGACATCGTGCCTATTCGACGCTTTGACGCCTTCCTTCGTCGCGCTTTTCAACCGGCTACTGAGAGTATTCCAGATGCTACAACTCAAACTGTCTGCTCTTGCGATCTTCGTCAGTTTTCTTGCGACCTTCCCTAGCTCCCTTCCAAGCTTCATCATATTGCTTTCGAACTTCATCATACCGCTTCCGAACTTCCTCAGCTCGCGTTCGTACTCGCGCCAATTCATCCTCCGAAAGTTCAACGTCCTCGTCTATTCCATCCACATCAAAAGATCGTAGCCGCTTAGCAACACCGTCAGAAACCGAAAACACTCCCTCATTCAGCTCAACGACCAAAGTGTGCCTCTCTTTCGATTGCTCCTTGCTTTTCTTCTTTTCAACCATCTCACCACCCCGGAATACAAACGTGCGGTCAGTAAGTCGCTTCCACAACTTGACGAATGGACATGACGTCTCATCGGACTTATCCGTGCTGTCCGCGACACGGGACTTTGAAGAGATGTGCACGCGGCCATCGTTGGACTTCAGCGGTGAATCACCAACGTGATTCATCTGCTCAGCAAAATCCCGCCACAGCGCATTCATCTCAATCTGATAAACCTCGGGCATATCGTCAAAATCGGGATACTTCTTATACATGGCGGTAATTCGATCCGTTATCTCCTTAAGCTTACGCGAAGGCGTATTCTGGTTGATACGCCAGATCTTCCCTTCAGGACCATACAGCTCGACAAGGCCTTCTACAGTAGTGATCGACGGATCGATTCGATGGCTCAGCGTGCTGACATATGCGTCCAAGTCCTCTTTTATAGCTGGGTCGATATCAAGTGAGTTGGTGGTAGCTTGAACTCTGTCTGTGAACGTGGACACAGCCTTTTTGGCGTTATCGAGAGCGAGGATGGCACGATTGCCAGCGGTAGCGATGCTCGCTTGTATGGAGGCTTTTGGCGGGGCGGAGGCGGAGGCGGACACTAGGCAGGCTAGGCTAGCGAAGAGGGTGGTAGTCGTGGACAGCTTCATGTTTGTGACGAGTGACTTTGGGTGTAAGGTTGAGAGATTGGGTAGAGGCGGTGGATGGGAGGGGATCAGAAGGTAGACTGGTGGTACCATATATACATCGAGGGAAGAAGCAAGAGGGTGGTGATTCACGAGCGGACCGTGCTGTGAGAAGGCGAGTGAGCTGCCTATCGATGACATGCCTTCACTATCTACGGAGGACTAGCGGTGTCTTTCACGCGTGGTTCCATGTAGTGAGACAAACTTATGCACACTTAGATAAAGGTAGCAAACAATATGGGGTATCCTAACACATCCAAACCAACCTGCCCAAACAGATACGCCGCGCAATGCTTTTACAACGAGACAAAAGTATCTCTTCGTTCTCTTCACAAACCACCCATCTGACTAACCTCTCCAAACCCCACTCTCGCCCTACCACCTCTTCCCCTACTCTTCCTCATCGCACTCCCACTCCCATTTCCACCAACAGCAACACTCCCCCCAAACCCACCTTCCCTCAACCTCCTCTCAAAACTCGTCACACCACCAACTCCCAACCTCACATCCCTCGCACTCTGCACAGGCGGCGCACTCATAGTCCCCAACCTACCCCTTCCTTCCCTCTCCAGGAACGAGGAGCCCAGCGGTCGCCTCACAGGAGAAAGAACGCGTGCTTTCTCAGGACTAGGCGGGAGTTCAGGTCGTTTAGCACGGACAACGCTACGTTTACTGGGTGTTTTGAGGTAGCCTGGTTTACTGGTTGTAGTAGGAGGAGGGGGCAAGGGCGTTCCGGACCAGAAAGTGGATTGTGCGGCGTCGCCAAAGGAGAGGTCGGATTCGTCGTCTTCGGGGATGGTGGCGGGAGGGGGGCGAACGGCGGATTGGGGTTGCGGGTAGGTGTTTGGGCGGCGGAGGATGGAACCTGGGGGGCGGGTTGTTGATGCGGGTGAGGGAATGGGAGCGTAGGGGTTGGGGGTCAGCGTTGGATGGCGGGGTGGCTGTTCTGGGGTAAGGGAGAGAGAGAGGTCGAGATCGTTGTTTAGACCTAGAGCGGTCTCATCGAAGGCGGTCCAGGACTCGAGGCGTTGGGTCTCGTCACCGGATTGCTGAAAACCTCCTTGCCCGGCGGTGTTGTTGCCGTCATCGTGGTCGTCAAAGCCTCCGTCGTTTCCGTGACTGGTATAGTCATCCTCGTCATCCCGTCTTCGTCTTCTCGACCTACTAGGAGGCGATGGACTCGCAACCCGTTGGCCACGCCGCTCGGTAGCACGCTCGGCCCAGAAACGAACCATGGCCCTAACATGCTTCTCAAAGTTCCTCTCGAACAACGCTCTCGCGTTCTCCTCTTGCCTCTGGAAGTTCCAAAGACGCCATCCCATCTTCTTCAAAGCGCTGGTGGCAGCAATCTCTGTGCTCTCTTGCCGCAGTGCGACAGCTTGCCCTTCGAGTGTGTGTACAAGGTCGATGCGTTGGGACCAAATGGCGAAGTAACGGGTGGAGAGTTTGAAGGCGTGGAGGCTTTCGGCTTGAGCATCCTGCTGGCGGAGTATGAGCGTGCGGTCGTGCCATTGATGCAAAATTGCGCCACTGCTTTGGAAAGTACGGTTGTCGAGTACATCGTTTGCCCTTTGCGTCAGCACTGCGATATGGTTTGCCTTGTCCCGCCAGTGCTCAAAGACTCTGCGCACGAGATTCGTCTTGACCATTCTACGGACTTGCGAGTATGTGTCGCGTCTGCGATTACGGCGCGCATGTTGTGTGGCTTGGCTCCATGTGTTCAGTGTATGTTTACTCAGAACGTAGAAGCGCGCATCGGCCGACCACTGGTTCAACTCTTGGAAGTGCGCTTGCCTCTCCTTGAGTTTGTCGAATATACGCAGCTTGAGTTTTTGCTGGTACTGGGATAGAATAGCGAACTGCTCCCTTCGTCTCTCCGTAGTGATAGCTTCCATCTTGCGCAAGCATGTCCGCATCAGTTGAGCACGCTTGAATTGGGCGAACCGAACTTCCGCAGTATCGAGAGTGTTGACGCGCTGATTGGTCTTGGTGACCCAGGATAGGAATGTTGACTGTTTGAGCTGTCGATCGTGGACACGCTGGAAGAGGGATACTCGGGATGCCAACGTCCATTTGTACAAGCATTCGACAATGATGCGGTCGTTGATTCGATCCTCGAGAGCCTTGATGCGCAATCTATCATTCCAGGCAGTATAAGCATTGCGTAGGACGCGCATGCGGTCAACATTGCGTGCTTGACGGGATAGCTGAGCGTCTTTGCGCCAATCCTGGAACTTTGCACGAAGCAAACGACCGTTGGTGCGTGCTTGAACCTGGCGCAGTAGTGGCTCGAGCTGTGCCTGCCTCTGGAGTGTCTGGACCGTCATTCGAAGGAGGGAGGTCTGTCGGAATTGGTCCGCCTGGGATTGCAGAGTCTTCACTGCCACTGTCTTCTGCTGCCACGTCCGGAACGTCTTGCGCATGAGTGTTCCATCGCGCCGATCCGTGGCCCACATGTTCCGCTCCCTCATGATCTCGGTGATCTCGCGCCATTTCTGCAATGTCGTTCGTGCTGTTCGCGTGTCATGCCAGTTTGCTGCGCCTCTGTTGAGGTACTCGTTGTTGAGAGCGTTCCACGACTTCCGAACAATCTTCTCTTCATAGTATGCTTCAGCGAAGTCGACGCGATCCCGCACCTTTGTTGCGCGTGCTCGCCATATAGAGAGGAACTTTGCAAGAGCAAAGTGCTGGATCTTCAGCTCGTTGACTGCCGTAATATCGCGCCAACCGTTGAAGAAGCGTGTGCGTAGGATGTGCCGTCGCGCAACAGATGTTCGCTGAACCTCGTCCTCGGCACACTTTGCCCAATGTGTGAATGCTTTTGTGAGCAGGAATAGACTGCGAGCCTTATCTGCACGGGTTTCTAGCCGATCGAAGAAGCGGTTCGTCTCTCGACCAGAACGTCTTACAAGCGCGGTGTCGCGCAGCTGCAAGAGGGAGGCCCTGAGCAAGACGCGACGATCAAAGGCGACAGCTGCTCTCTCCATATCGTCGCGCAGATTCATGCGCTCTTGCGCGCGGTTCCGCCAGATCCGTATGCATTCTCTCGTCACTCGGTGTAGCCGTTGCTCTTCGAAGGTTTCCGCATCGTCCATCAATCGGGTATCGGAGGGTCGAAACGGTTCGGGGACATATTGTTGGTGTTGGGTTTGTCGTGACTGTTGAAGGCGGCGCTGGTGCGGGGAATCGTACGGATCGTTCGGTATCGGCGCGTTCACTCCTGGTATCTGGATGGAGGAGAGGTCGAGGCTAGCCGTGTGGTCGGTGAAATCGCTCTCATCTGCATCGTGAGTTCCAGTTCTGTATGTCGTTGTAGGATTTCTTCGAATTCGCAGACTGCCATAACTCGAGACAGATGTACTGCGCTTGTGGACTGGCGGCTGCGGTCCAGAACTCAATCTCCGAGGCGCGATGCCATTCACTTTGGGGCGACTGGGAAGTGGCGCAGGCCGGTACGAATGCGCTTCGGTGTCTGACGTTGCGCGCCGGTGGTTGCGCGTGTTGGCATAGCCGTCAGGAGCATTCTGCTGTGATGCTCTCCTCGGGCGCACAGCCAAATCGCCATAGTCGGTGCCTGCGACCTTGTCTGCCGTGCCGTCAAGAAATGAGTCGAAGCTCCCGGTTCTCGTGTACCGCCCTAAGCTCGCCTGCGCCCCTCTACGCGTCGCGTCAATGTTATTCGGGACTTCGACGACCTCTTCGTCACCGAGTTCGCCATTGAGACCGAAATGCTCCTTCACCACGCGCAGAACCAGCGACATCAAGTCTTCGCCTTCCCGCGCATATTCCTGCATGCGCAACAGGAAACTGTAGTAGAGAGCGGCATCGGTGGGCGAAGAAAGGTGCTCCTTGACATATTCATCGTATGCGACGAAGAGGGCGTCAATGGATCCATCATAGGAGTCTTGCGCGCGAAGAACGATGTTGTGAATGGCATCGGAGACTACTGCGGTGTTAGTATATCTATTAACCAACTCTTGTTTCGATTATTTTACCTTCATCCCGACAAAGATCATCAGCTGTTATAGCCCTCGCATCATCTCCATTCAGCCTCATGGAGGATAGCATTCGTGCACGCGACTCGTTCGTCTCCGGCGCGTTCGCGACAACATGGAAGGGACCGGCGGGAATGATTCGAACAGCGACCAACAAAAAGCAGCGGCATGCGAGAAAGTAGTCGTGGGTTCGTCGCGCAACAATTAAGCATTACAAGTCCAAAGTAAGAAGAGAGGAGTGATGAAGGGCTGTTGGTGCGCCCGCGTTTTGGCGTTGCAGCGACGCGCTTTGTTGTTGGAGTGGTTGGCCGCCCGCGTTCGTGGATGCGAGGGCGCCAAGGCTTTAGTTGGGTGGGCCCTGTTCGTTGACCTCATCGAGGTGGAAGAGCGTGGGTTCGCCGTGTCCAAAGAACTTCACGTATCTTGGAGAGACTAATTCTTGTAACACTCCAACACATAATACACGAGAGATATACTCAGTACTGCTCGAGATGCCCGGTCGAACACGTCCCATCGATAAACTCGCCACAGCGGCTGCAAAATGCTCGACGGAGGTATGATACGCCCCTCAGTGACAGTCAGGTTCAACTCGATGCTGACATACTCCAGAGCGCAGTATACGGCAAATGCATCTTCGCAGACTACAATAACGTACGGAAAGACATGTGTGTCAACGAGTTCATGAAGCTCAAGGAGTGCTATCTGGTAATGTCTCCTCACCGCATCAAAAGCCATGACAACTAACCCCCGTTACAGAAGGCATATAAGCAGCGGTGACAGCACTTGTAACGACACTTCTTCATCATAGAATCACACAGCATACGAAGGCGTTCGGTGTAAACATGGAAATTTTGATTTGATTTCATCAACGATTCATGCAGCGCCACCACACTATCAAACCACACGATAACGCTACTATAGCTTGATCAACCGCAACATGAAAGTTGCCTTGTGGAGCTCTTGCTCTTCTTCCGCAATGACCTTCTCGTTACTGTTCTCCGGAATCTTGCCCTCAACCTCAGTGATGACGTGCTTGTCCACAGGTCTTCGCAAAGCCTTCTCAAACAATGGGCCCTGATTCTCAAACGCCTGCTCCAGTCCTACACTTTCCGGATCGCTCAGCACTCGGTACTCCATGCCTACGTCGTCGGTTGGCACCAGTCCGGCCTTCTTGCGCAGATCTTGTACACGGCGGATAACCTCACGAGCGAGGCCTTCTTGCTCGAGCTCTGGATATGAGGCGACGTCGAGGAGAATGAGGACATCGTTGTCTGTGTTGAACTCCTGGTCCTTGTTGCTAGAGTCCTTTGCGAGACCGCGCTTGACCATCAGATCCTCAGCCTCAAGCTTGATGCCGTCCACGACAATCTCGCCGTTCTTCAGGTAGTCCTTGATATCTTGGCTCTTGAGGTTTGGTAGCGCCTTCTTGACCTTGATGGCGTCCTTCTTCAGCTTCTTGCCAAGCACGGAGAAGTCGGCTGTAGCTGAGTACTGGACGTTGTACTTCTCCTCATCGCTAGAGAGCACGATATCGCGGACGTTCAGCTCCTCCAGGATGTAGTTCTCCAATGACTTGATGTCGTCAAGATATTGTTGTTCTGGGTGGATGACCACCAGCGTCTTCAGCGGAATCTTCAAGCCCTTGTTGGCACGGTCACGGCAGATACGGCCAAGCTCAATGACTGACTGCATGCGCTTGACTTGGCGCTCGACATCCTCGTCAAACAGCTCCTCGCGCACTTCTGGGAAAGGAAGGAAGTGGATACTTCTGTTATCTTCCGCGTGCAGTTCCTTGGGGATGTGAGGTAGTAATCGCAGGTAAATGTTGTCCGTGATGAAGGGTGTAAAGGGCGCAAGACCGCGGCAGAGTGTGTAGAGAACTTCGAAGAGGGTGTTGAGAGCGTGTTTGGTGTCCTTCAGACCGTGCTCACCCTTTAACCGGCGACGGTTGAAGCGAATGTACCAGTTTGTTGTGTTGTCAATGAGCTCCAATAATCGCGGAACCACGGTGTACAGCCTGTACGCAGCCATCTCCTCGTTCACGAACTTTAGCAGCGACTGGGTGGACGCGAGGATCCATCGGTCGAGCACGTTCTTGTTGGTCTTTCCAGCTGCCGGGTCGAATACGAAGTCCAGACTCTCGACCTTCTTCAGCAGCGAAACTTGTTGCTCGAAGAACTGGTAGCTGTTCCAAAGAGGCAGAAGAACCTTGGAAACAATCTCCTTGACACCAGCTTCCTTGAATCGAAGTGTCTCGGCACGAACGACGGGAGAGTTGATGAGATATAACCGCAGCGCATCAGAACCGTAGTTGGTCATGATCAAGTTGGGGTCAGGGTAGTTCTTGAGACGTTTTGACATCTTTTTGCCATCTTCCGCAAGTACGATTCCGTTGACAACACAGTTCTTGAAAGGAAGCTTGCCGAAGAGATGTGTTCCAAGGACGGTGAGTGTGTAGAACCAGCCACGAGTTTGGTCGAGGCCTTCGGCAATGAAGTCACCAGGGAAGGACTTCTCGAATTGCTCCACGTTCTCGAATGGGTAATGCGCACTGGCGTAGGGCATGGAACCAGACTCAAACCAGCAGTCAAAGACCTCATCTGTTCTTCGGAGCACCCCCTTGCCGTCTTTGCTGGGAATGGTGATGTGGTCGATCTTATCCCGGTGAATGTCGGTCAGCTCGCCCTCATACCCGCTGAGCTTCTTCAGCTCCTCCACGCTACCAATACAGACCACCTCTTTGCCGTCATCGCTGACCCATATCGGAAGTGGCGTACCCCAGAAACGGTTTCGTGAAACAGCCCAGTCAGGTGAGTTGGTGATCCAGTTGGCGAAGCGCTTTTCCTTAACGAAGGAAGGAACCCAGTGCGAACCAGCAATGTTCTCCAGCATTTGCGGTACAATGTCCTGGATCTTGATGAACCAGGAGGGGACCGTTCGGTAGATCAAGGGTGTGTCAGAACGCCAGCAGAAGGGATAGCTATGGAGAAGTTGTGAGTCTACGATCAAGCGACCAGTGCCTTTCAGATGCTTGATAATGCCCTTGTCGGCCGCCTTGACGTGTTGGCCCTCGAAGTCGCGGACAACCGCGGTGAAGCGACCCTGGTCATCGACTGGGTTGGGTGGCGGTCGTGTGTCGGAGATGACACCGTGGGCCTTTGCAACGCGGTAATCGTCCTCTCCGTATGCGGGGGCCTGATGAACGATACCCACACCACTGTCTGCTGTGACGTAGGTGTCGTTCGCAACCTTGAAGCCGTAGTCCTTGAAATCGTCGTAGAGGTAGTCGAATAGGGGCTCGTATTTCCAACCCAACATATCCTTGCCCTTCAGCTTCTCCACAATCTTGAATTTGGCCTTCTTCGGGTCCTTGTATAGTGTGCGTAGCAGGGCTTCGAGTAGGATGTAGTGTTTGCCGGACGCTTCGTCGAGAATCTTGACGTATTCAAAATCGGGATGCGCGCAGAGACCGGTGTTGGATGGGAGTGTCCATGGCGTGGTGGTCCTGTTCGGGCTGGTCAGCGCACGCCAGTAGCACTGGGTTGGAGTAAGTAGCTTACCATGCCAACAAGCACGTGTTCGGGTCTTCGAGTAGCGGGAATGTGACGACTACTGCTGGGTCCTGAACGTCCTTGTAGTTCTGCGAGGCCTCGAAGTTGCTGAGAGGCGTCGCCAACGCTGTGCTGTAGGGCATGACCTTGTAACCCCGGTATACGGCACCCTTGTCGAAGAGACGCTTGAAGACCCACCACTCCGACTCCATGAAGCTGGTGTCCATAGTCTTGTAGTCGTTGTCGAAGTCGATCCAGCGACCCAGACGGTCGATAGTCGCCCTCCATTCGGTCGCATATCGCATGACAATCGCGCGGCACTTCTTGTTGTACTCGGCGATTCCGATTTCGCGTACAGCGTCGCGTCCCGACATGCCCAATTCCTTGTCGATCTCGTACTCAATGGGCACACCATGGGTGTCCCAGCCGAACCGTCGCTCGACATAGCGGCCCTTCATGGACCAGTAGCGGGGGATAATATCTTTAATGGTCGAGGCCAGGAGATGACCATAATGCGGCATTCCTGTCGCGAAAGGCGGTCCATCGTAGAAAGTGTATGGTTGCTTTCCTTTCGACTATGGCGAGTTAGCAAGTGTCGACCACACGTGCTTGGGTTCACTAGGCTGTAGCATAGTCACGTACTAGCTCGACTTGTCTCTGGAAGGCGTCAATCTCCTTCCAGCGCGCGAGGATGCGCTCCTCCTCGCTCGGAAAGTTCATCGACATGGTGGCGGCGTGAGTATGCTGAGACAGAGCCGTGGCGGGGAATCTTTTTCTAGAGCCTAGAGTTGACTCCTCCGATCCCCGCCATTAGCGTGACTCAGCCGCTTATCGATAGCACCCCGCCATACCTAGGCATCGGCGGCGGATGACTCCTGCAACTAACAACATCTTCCCGGTCATACGAAGCCTGCCTCACTACATTGATGTCTTGTCTTCGCCAGCCATATCCACCAAACCCATCCAGTCGTATGCCCACTAGCTATATGCGTCCTAGACTTGATCAACCTAATAATCTAATAATCGTAACTGGAACCGTCAGAGCATACTCATCATGAAACGTCGCATACATACATCTTCGTTGCGGCTCTGCGGCAACTGAGAAGGTTGAAACATTGACAGGTCTAGCTAATTCCAAGCCGATGTGGCAACCATCACCTCGCCTTTTTGTCTGGGCATTCTCATTACATACTTCTGATCAACAATGCGTTTTCCGATACTCCTTATCACTTCATTCTTTACGCTGATAGTAGCCTCAAACGACCCGTTTAACAATCTATCTGTTCAGTCTCTACAGAGCGGTGATACGACCATCAATACCAGAGATGCCGAAATCGACAAGACATGTAGACGCTTACGTACGTTGACACAGCTCAACAGGATCGCACATAACGAGACCCTCATGGACATGATGATCATGCGCGACAAGTTCGCTCAACCACGCATCGACTGGATCAAAAGCAACAGTGACGACATCACTGCCAAACTCGACAAGCTGACATCCAACTCAACTCTCACTGCCGAATGCAACACCATCAATGCGCAGCGCGAGACAGCTCGTCAATGCAAAGCATTGGAGATATTGGAAAGGCTGGTAAGCTCAACGAATGGCCAGCCCGGTACCAATCCAGGTCCTGCTGCGGATTTTCTCAGCGAGGAGCAGAATCAGAAATTGCAACAAAAGTTCGAGAAAGCGGAGCTCAAGCTGCAGCAACTTAGGAGGAACGCTACATTAATGGGTCTCTGCGAAGACAATATTATGTTCCAGCAGAATGGCGCCATTGGAAGTCGTGAGCATTTTTCTACAGTGCGAAACCGAAATGTACTGACTTACATACAGAAGTGGTTGACAACAGCGGCGCCATCAGCATGACGAAAAGTAGTGCAAGGAGTAATGTGCATGAATCAGGAAATGCTTCATCGCTGATGATTTTCGTGGTTCTGATGACAGTGTCGATGCTGTAGTACTCCCTTTCTTTATGTTGAAAACAATAGCCGGATAAATCGCGTCACTTCGTCGCTTTTTGCGGTTGCATGCATAAAGAATTGGGGCACGTGGCGGGGTGTTCGACGACGTGCATGTTGTGGCGTAGCCGTAAAGATGTGCGAACTCAATTCCAAGTCATGGTCATCTCATCAATATTTTACCATGGTCAATGCGATTCTTTGTGGCACAGCTCCACCTGCATAATAGGGAACGACAGAGCATCTTTACCGGACATGTCGATTGACAATGACGAGCAATACCGATGGCGCATCTGTGCATGAGAAACCCGTGCGTTGTACGCCACAAGGGATACCCTTATTTGTGCCAACGATAACTACACCGCGTCTCCGATCAAAACGCTCCGTTTCTGTGCTGGTTTACCCCATCCACCCACTCTTTCGGGCTTGACTCCCGTCTTCTGAGTTGCCCTCAAGACACCCAGTGGTATGGCGACATTCGACTTCGGCGACCCACCCCCGGGCCTTAATCTCAGCGAGTCCCGGACAGTCGGAAACAGTGTTGTCGCAATCATCTTGTTTGGTCTTTCGGGTGTCTTCGTTGCATTAAGGCTGTTTACTCGCCTGAAGTTGAAACAAGAACAGCTGGGGTGTGATGACTACTTGATCATTGCTGGGCTGGCATTGAACGCGGGGAATCTTGCGTGCTGTATCGTTGGTTGGTGGCCAGTTTCTGGGCAAAGTCTTGATTTTACTGACGCAGCGTGAAGGAGGTTTCTACGGTCTGGGCCGACATATCTGGGCGCTAGGACCTGAGCAAATGCGACATATAACTATCGTGCGCTTACATGCCTGGGCATACTCTTGCGGGACTGACATTTGACAGATCACCTTCGCATACGTTTTTGTCTACGCGTGGAGTGTCTGTGTCATCAAACTCTCCATCCTCGCTTTGTATCGACGTATCTTCGGTATAAACTGGTTGGGTTGGTTCTGTGTTGGCATGACCGCTGCCTACCTGATCACAAACCACGTCGTTCTGCCATTGTACACTCGACCGTTGAGCTACTATTGGGATCAATGGAATGGGGCACACGGAGAGATTCTCGTCGATGAGGCAAAGGTGCGCCGCAGGTACCCCACATTCTGATTGAAGCTGTCTGCTTACGCGATCGCAGTTCTACCTTGGAGCTGGGATCTTCAATCTCTTCGGCGATGTGTGTATACTTTGTATACCCATATCCAACGTTGTCAAATTGCAGATGAAAAGAATGGAGAAAGTGGCGATCTGCTTTATCTTCCTGCTCGGCAGCTTGTAAGCACTGCGAAGTAAGGAAACCGTATTGTTTCTGATCATCGTAGTGTGTGCTTCGCCTCGCTTTATCGTATCATCACCATCGTCCGATTGATGGCCTCGCCAGACGTCAGCTGGAAAAAGAGCGATGTCTTCATATGGTCGTCCGTCGAGCCATCGATTGGCATCATCTCTGGATGTCTTCCAACGCTTCACCCGCTTTTGATTCGTATGACGCGCTGTTTGGCAGGTGCACTCGGTGTTACACCGAGCCATACTCCGGAGCAGGAGGGCCCTGAGAGTCGCGAGACTGGGTCGAGGACGATCAACGCTTGGACAGAACGCTGGGGTAGAACTCGGCCAGCCGAAGAAGATTTGTGTTTGACTACGACAACAGTGTGCGGATCTGCTAATGAAAATGATGGGATCACCTGGCAAGACTTCATCCTGGGACGCCATGAAGAGAGGAGGATTACTATGACGCATGAGTTTGCGATAGACGAGAGCATACGGAGTCGCAACAGCTCAAGATGAGACTAAGCTTTTGCACGTTGCTATGAGATGAGATTTGAAGCATGTATCACCATTGGCAGCTGAAGCGACGAGCACGTTCGTTAAAGGACTTCAGGCGCGAGGTAGAAGGGAAGGCGGCCGTGTTGGCGGCAATTGAGTAGGGCGCGCCGCTGCAGATACTCGGTTTGGAGGGCGAGAAGGGTCGACTTCAACAGACACCATCCGAAGTTTCTGGGATGATGCAGGTGTCTGAGTTGTCGACTTCGGAAGTCCGTCGCACCTGTCGGATGCATGCAAGCTAGCGCGGAAGGGCCCCTAGGTCACATGTCTCCCCCAGGGCTCGGCGCGACCGCCGAAACCCCGCAATACTACTTCGTCTCTTCTTCCTCCACTGAACTGACACCTGCGCACGATTTATCCGTCAAATATGCACAATGACTGTGAGGCGTCCGGACATAAGCCCCCAATCTGTTTCCTGGCCGGCGCGAGGTGTGACACGGCGTACATGCCTCGAGTTTGCGATGCCACCTGGGCAGACTCTTGGCCATACCACCCGAGAAGGAACTCTAATAGTAGATCCACGACTCATTGTCCCATTGACATTGCGGTCGGCCCGTATGCTACGATTGACAGAGGAATGAGAAGATCGAGCTGGATCATTCACATCTACAATCATTGAAGGATTTCGGGATAGGGTGCCGGTCTCCGCATTTCGCACCCCGCATCTTGCTGGACGTGGCTTGTCAAGTCTACCGTACTTTTTGCACTGAGTATAAAGAGTGCTTGTCGCTGAAACCCCATGATGATCGTTGCCAAGTCTTTCTTCCCCGCCGATATGTTTCTTACATCGTTGGTATTGCTTGTCTCGCACTTCGCGCTGACTGGATTTGCGGCTGCGTCATCTGAATTTGAGAAGAAGTGTCTCGCATTCGAGCCCGAGAGATACATCAAAGGTGCAACTCGCAATGTTCTCCAGCATGTTCCGGCAGGGACCAATTTGGCGTTTCCCGACAACGACGCGACTTGTGGACGTGCTAGCCAGATTGTCTCAGTAGACCTTTGTCGTATGGCATTAGAGATCAAGACGACCAGAACATCGAAGATCTCTTTCGAAGCATGGTTTCCTGCAGACTGGTCTGGCCGCTTTCTGGCAACGGGGAATGGAGGCATCGATGGCTGTAAGTGTTGGACGAATATGATGGCGCGTCAAGTACAGTGAGTGCTCACATCAACAACAGGCATCAAATATGAGGATATCGCATATGGAGCGTCAAACGGCTTCGCTAGCGTTGGCGCAAACAATGGCCATAACGGTACTACAGGAGTAGCCTACCTCAACAATCCCGAGATGGTAGTGGACTTCGCCTGGCGATCGTAAGAATGTCTCTACTATCCACGACGCATATACTCACCGGCAATACAGTCTTCACCTGAGCGTCGAAACGGGCAAAGCATTGGCCAAGGAGTTCTATGGAAAGTGCCATACCAAATCTTACTACCTGGGCTGTTCTCTCGGTGGACGCCAGGGCATCAAGAGCGCCGAAAGGTTTCCAAAAGACTTCGACGGCATAGTTGCCGGCGCTCCAGGCGTCGATTTCAACAACCTCATCTCCTGGCGCGCACACTTCTACACTATCACCGGCCCCATTAAAGGTTCAGACTTCATCTCGAAGGCAGCATGGCAGACATGGATCCACGACGAGGTGCTACGCCAATGCGATACCATCGACAAAGTCAAAGATGGCATCATCGAGGACCCGACCCTATGCAAGTTCGATCCAACAACCTTACTTTGTGGTCGCAACACCACAAACACGACCAATTGCCTAAACGACAACCAAGTGCAGCAACTCCAGAAAATCTTCAGCGACTACCGTTTCCCAAATGGCGAACTAATTTACCCGGCCATGCAACCCGGTAGCGAAATTAACGCCGTCGACAAACTCTACGCCGGCGCCCCCTTCGCCTACTCAGACGACTGGTTCAAATACGTCGTCTACAACGACCCAACGTGGAACGCATCGGAATACGGCTATGATGACGCGCAAGCAGCAGAAGATCTCAATCCAGGAGATATTCGCACCTACCCTTCTTCTTTACCCGACTTCAAGCAAATTGGCGGGAAGCTGCTCATGTACCACGGCCAGCAGGATAACCAGATCACGTCTTTCAATACGAACAGATTCTACGAGCATCTTCGCGGCAACAACACGTACGCAGAGATGGATGAATGGACGCGTTTCTTCCGTATCTCGGGCATGTTTCATTGCAGTACTGGGCCAGGGGCGTGGGTGTTGGGTCAGGGTGGGAATGCGGCGCAGGCTGGTATCCCATTTGATGCGCAGCATAATGTGCTTGCGGCGATGGTGAACTGGGTGGAGAGGGGTGTCGCGCCGGAGGTTATTGAAGGGACGAAGTTTGTGAACGATACTGTAAAGAGTGGAGTCGACTTTACGAGGAGGCATTGCAAGTATCCAGCAAGGAACACGTTTATTGGGGGTGACTATAGGAAGCCTGAGAGTTGGGAATGCAAAGTATAGGGTGAGAAACAAAATCAAACTGTCTGCTCAAGTAACGGAAGTCGCGATAACATACTGTTCCTCATTCCGGCCTTTCTTCATTTTGCGATCACCTTGCACAATGAGAATCCTGAACAGGTTTGCAGCATACATTAAAATAAAAGCACGCAACGTAGCTGATCTAACGTCAATGTAGGCTCCGGGGTTTTTAAGTTTTTCCTTCTTGAACGAGGTGCGATGCTGCCGAACGGTCGCTGTGGTTAATTCAGGGTGCGTACTTCGAGTTCAGACGACGCCGTGGTAACAATGCAGACGCGGGCAATCGACGGCTTTCGAGAAGTTGCCTGATTTGGACTGCGTCCAGCAATGTGCAACAGCCTCGCTCAACCCCTCCAAAGCCTGAGATCTGATCCTCAACTGAAAAGCTTTCATTCGCCAATCCACAAATTCTCTGGAAGCACTATCCAAGTGTTTCTATCCTATGACAACGGGGCGGTAATCGCTAAACGAGCTCTGCCACCATGTACGGCGTTCCCAAGGGTAGCCTGTGAGGGCTATATGCTCCGCTTCGCGCCCAGTATGTCCAGCTAGAGGCAAGAGGTCTTGTCCTAGCATATGATTGTTGTACAGGCGTTTTGCAATGCTGGGTAGGTGCACCAAACCAACTCGTTCCAAGACGTCGCCATATGGAGCAAGCACCATCAGATACCCTTCAAGCTCTTTTGAGTGTTCCGTTCGTCCATCGAGCAGAGCGCCTACAAGTTGTTTCGAGCTTAAAGAAGCAGGGTCTGCATCCCAGTGTAGTCCAAAGGCGTATTTGTAATGATCGTTGATCTCCAGCGCCACTTGAAAATGATCAGGATAGCCATCAGTCCAGCCATCAGGCACCAAGTCTAGCTTCGCTGTTCTCGCTGTAAACTCAAGCGTCGGTGGTGCGGGGTCGACATCTTCTTGTAGTGCCGGGTCAAACTTCGACAAATCGCAGCTGAATTTTGGAAAGTGCAGTCGAGCTTTCCGAACCTGAATCAGCACTATAGGAGGCTCTTCGCGGTCGATATTACAGGCCCATCTTGACCAGCTCAATGGACCCTCCCATCCTATAGAGGACCAACTTGGAAAGCCACATCGACGACGAGCTGGTTCCTGGTGATACCATGCAAGGGCCATCTCAATTTGCTGCCCATGTCCAAGGACAGAGCATTTATCTCCTTTTTGAGGTATAGAGGGATAATTCATACTTTGGAGATCCTGCGAGGCAGATACATGGACGCGCTCGACGTCGTTATCGTCTGTGTTGGTGGATCGTCGACTTCCAATAGAGACGAAACTTCCACGATCACGTATAGAATATGTGAGATTGTAGTGTCGAAGTCTTGCCGAAAGAGAATCTGCTGCATACGCAGCAGCGTGGCGAAAAGGTGCACCCCAGGTATGGTAAATGGAATCCTTCCGAAGCGAATGTAGAGCACCTGAGATAGCATCCAAGCTATCACTGTCGTACGTCAAGTCCCGATTGCTATAGGCCTGTAGATGTCCCGCGGCCCGGTCAATAGCGGTCCAGCTCGACCCTTGATCCCCTGCCAACCCATGTTGGGGTAACCAACGTTGAGCCCAATACCCATCTTCTGTTGGCAACTCATCTGATCTGGGCCAGTGGATTCCCGACAAATCTACCTCACACCTGATGTGATTATTGCACACAAAGATAATCTGGTTCTCAGTGAAGATTAAACGCCTCGTGGAATGATAGAATTCCTGGAAGGTCCATGCTCGGGAAGCCCATCTTGACTCAGCTACTTCTGCTAGCTGAACGAAGCGTGGGAG